TATGGCAGTGTCAATGGGGCATCTGACTGAATATGGAAAAACATAGTGGTTTCCAATTGGCAAGGAGGCCAGGAAGACCTGCATTTTATTAGCCTTTTTGTTTAAGTTGTACATGGAATGTATCATATTGAAAGCTGAACTAGACACAGAGGAAGGAGGTTTAAAAACTAACAAAAGGAACATAAACAAATTAAGATGTGCAGATGACACCATACAACTCGCAGAAAATAGGTGACTATTCTTGAAGAAAGCCAGTGAAGAAAGTGTAAAGGCATGGTTACTGCTGAACATTAAGAACACAAAATTAATGACCACATGAGATTTACATAACATTAAAGCAGACAATGAAGGCATAGGAATATTTAAAGATTTTCTATATCTTGACTCAATCGTTAATCAAATGAAAACTTTGGTCAAGAAAACACAAGGCTTAAGGCTTTGCTGAGCAACTATGAAGGAACTAGATAAGGTCATCAAGTGTAAAGCTATAATTCAATACCAACATCAGAATTGTCCATGCCATCATATTTCCAATTTCTAAATATGGTTATGAAAGGTGAAGAAAGCTGATAGAGAATCAGGTGATTTGTAATGTTGCATTTGAGGAGCCACCCTCCCCCTCAAATAAAATAAATGGGTCCATGATGACTAAACTGAAAGTATGACATTTTGGAATATTGTGACAAAACAGCAAGGAAAGTAGAAAGGGAAAAGGGAAAGAAAAAGGCCCATTCTACACTGTCATATAAAATCCAGATTATCTTATTTGAACTGGGTAATATGGCAATGTAGACTCATATAATCCAATGTGGATTATCATCTTTGATAATCTGGATTATATGGCAGTGTAGAAGGAGTCGAAGATTGCACTACAAGTATTGACTCAATCAAGGAAGCCACTGCCCTGAGTCTGCAAAACCTGAGCAGACAACTGATATTATTTTTTTATAATGTGCATCTGGCCTAGCCCATCCTGATTTATTTCTTGTCTCTAACTGTTATTTCATTTCATACCTGATGTTATTTCCCACTGTGTTATCTTTCCTTTATTGTTTTTATGTTATTGTTTTTATTGTGGTATATTATTTTAATTCTAATTTTAATTATTATTTTTCTGTATGTATTTCATTGGTATTGGTATTGGTATTGATGTTGGTATTGTATTCGTGGGGCTTAGCCTCATGTTAGCCGCCCCGAGTCCCTGAGGGGAGATGGTGGCGGGGTATAAATAAAGTTTAATAATAATAATAATAATAATAATAATAATAATAATAATAATAATGGGTGACTTGGAGGTCTCTCATTCATAGAGCCAGCATAAATTGAAGTTGTTTTATTGGTGACTGACAACAAAGGAATCTAATCTATGAGTTGGCCAGGCACTGATTTGATTTAAACTGTTAAAACCACCAAGAAAGCGAAACAAAGAAGGTTAACACTTTCTCACTAAACTTTCCATGTGGGTTAAATGTTTCCTGTGCTGTGGTAATTTTTTTAAAGAAGGTATTTGCTTCAGATGAATGAAACCTGTATCGGTAATCTCATTCAGCAATGGACCACAACTACCAGAATCCTTTTGCCAACATAGTTCAGAAATTCTGTTAGTTAAAAGAGTTTTTTGCCCCCATTGTTTGGTAATATGTACACAATGTAAGAGCCAGTGTGTTTTAACTATGTTGAAAAAAGGAGGCATAAGAAAAGGTGAGATTTTAGGAATCTATACAGAATTTTAGGAATCTATGGGCTGGTCCATGAGGTCACAAAGGGTCAGAAGTGATTGAACAAACAAACAACAAACAACAAATATAGAAAAATCAAGAGTCCATTAAGATTTGGCTTAGGATGTGTGAAGGATAACCTGATCCCACATGGATCCAGCTATCTGTTAAACCATTGGAGGTCTTATTTGGATATTGTGAGTGACTTGAGATGAGGTGAGTTTACTTTAAATTTATTGTTTGTATCTACGTTGATCATTCTACTTTTTTTCTGCCTCTCAGTTCGTGGACTGTCTTTTTCATGTCAATATTTGTTATACTGCCCTATGTTTTCATATGTAGATCTCGCTTTATCTCTCTTTCATGTTTGTCACCTGCCTTGAACCTTTTGAAATGTAAAGGGAAAATCAAACTATCACATAAAGAAAACGAAGAAATAAAATAAAATGCTCCCATCATTTGTATAGAGCCAGGAAACTTAGTTTTCAAAAGTAATTGCTTTTGGAAAGTAATTTGAACACTAATTTAGACATAATTAGTTGCTGTTATTGTTACAATTTTAAATCCAAAAGTAACACATGGTTACTTTGAGTTACTTTTAAAATATGATATTGGTTCAAGTCCCTACCTTGGTACCTTGCACAAGAAATAAAGTTATCCCTTTATAAGCAGCAATCATGATGTGCTATGGCTATGCCTTAGTCACCAGGGAAAAATGCAATTGTAAGTAACTCAGTTAAAATATAACAATTTTTTGCTGTAATACAATGCTTTTTTTTTGTCATGTCAGGAGTGACTTGAGAAACTGCAAGTCATTTCTGGTGTGAGAGAATTGGCCATCTGCAAGGACGTTGCCCAAGGGACGCCCAGATGATTTGATGTTTTTATCATCCTTGTGGGAAGCTTCTCTCATGTCCCCACATGAGGAGCTGGAGCTGATAGAGGGAGCTCATCCGCCTCTCCCCAGATTCGAACCTGCGACCTGTCGGTCTTCGGTCCTACCAGCACAGGGGTTTAACCCACTGTGCCACCGGGGGCTCAATACAATGCTTTGGACAGTCAATTTGGTGTCACCCCCTTTGATTGTGCAACTGGGTGGTGTTTCCACAGCATCTATTACATATTCACTCATTGAGAAACTAGAGCAAAATGTGCAATAGCAGGATGTCTCTCCTGCAAAGACAATTTTTTCCAGTTCAAAAAAACCTTTTCCATGTGTCTATGATAGAAGCAATGAGGAAATGACATTGATAACCCAGAAACAAAAATCATAGTCCAGGAGGTGTTTCTTTTCACAAAGAAAACAGGGGAGAGACAGTGGGCAGAAACAACTTGCTACAGCATTTCTCAACCTGGGGGTCAGGATCCCTGTGGGGTCACGATGGGGTTTCAGAGGGGTCACCAAAGACCATCAGAAAACATATATTTCTGATGGTCTTAGGAACCCCTTTGCAGAGAAAGATCAAGACCTCTCCGCCTATCCTTCTCTTCCTTTTTTGGAAATAGAGGGCAAATCCTCCCACCCGAAGCCCTCCTCCATTGTGATTGGCTGGTCTCTCAACTAAGGGGAGGGCTGTTTCTGAGACTCCAAGCAGGAAGAGGGGAGAGCAGGTGTGCTTGGTGCAAGGCAGCATTGTGTGCATGTGTGGGTGAGGGAGAGTGTGCGAGGCTGGAGGGAGGCTCGTGCCAGCGAGTACCTTCAAGGCCCTTTGTGGCCCCCGACTGGAACTCATTACCTGGCATGAGTAGGAAAGCCCCTACCCTAGAAACCTTTAAAAAGCACCTTAAAAGCTGGCTCTTCCACTGCACCTTTGATGAGTAGTTATACAACCTCATACTATTGCTTAGCCTCAACATTTTGTCATTGGAGTATACATCCCCCTTCCCCTTGTGGGAAAGTTTGATTCCACAACCCCCGTTTTAATGAGCCCCTCTCCACAAATAACATGCTTCTCCTTTATCTCATCAGAGTTTTTAATCAGTTTTTAATTAGTTTTTCTTTTAATCATTACATGTAGCCTGCCCATTGTCACTGTGATTGTGTTTATTGTGATTTTATATTGTTATGCATTCATATGTTTTATGTAATCATGATGTTGTTGTTTATTGTTTGTGTTTTCATTTTCAGTTTTATTTTGCTGTAATTTGTTGTTTGGGCTTGGCCTCATGTAAGCTGCCCGAGTCCCCATTGGGGAGATGGTGACAGGGTATAAATAAAGATTATTATTATTATTATTATTATTATTATTATGTGGGGAGTTTGGCCCAATTGTATTGTTGGTGGGATTCAGAATGCTCTTTGATTGTAGGTGAACTATAAATCCCAAATGTCAAGGTCTAATTTCCCCAAACTCCACCAGTGTTCATATTTGGGCATACTGAGTATTCGTGGCAAGTTTGGTCCAGATCCATCATTGTTTGAGTCCACAGGGCTCTCTGAATGTAGGTGAACTACAACTCCAAAACTCAAGGTCAATGCTCACCAAACCCTTCTGTTTTCTGTTAGTCATGGGAGTTCTTTGTACCAAGATTGGTTCAATTTCATCATTGGTAGAGTTCAGAATGTTCTGTGATTGTAGGTGAACTATAAATCCCAGGAACTACAACTCCCAAATGTCAAGGTCTAATTTCCCCAAACACTACCAGTGTTCACATTTTGGCATACTGAGTATTCGTGGCAAGTTTGGTCCAGATCCATCATTGTTTGAGTCCACAGGGCTCTCTGGATGTAGGTGAACTACAACTCCAAAACTCAAGGTCAATGCCCACCAAACCCTTCTGTTTTCTGTTAGTCATGGGAGTTCTTTGTACCAAGATTAGTTCAATTCCATCGTTGGTGGGGTTCAGAATGTTCTTTGATTGTAGGTGAACTATACATCCCAGCAACTACAACTCCCAAATGACAAAATCAATCCCACCAGTATTCAAATTTGGGCTTATCGGGTATGGGTGCCAAATTATGCCCAGTGAATGAAAATGCATCCTGCCTTTCAGATATTGACATGAAGATTCACAACAGTAGCCAAATTACAGCTACGAAGTAGCAAGGAAAATAATGTTATGGTTGCGGGGGGGGGGGGGGGGGGGGGGGGTGTCACCACAACATGAGGAACTGTGTTAAGGAAAGTTGAGAAACTCTGGCCCGGATGAGAGCTCCTGAGGTCTCTGAAATGGCTGTGCGGGGCGTGGGTTAGCCGACCCCGCGCCGCCTGGTCCGGCTGTCAATCTCAGACTCCGCAGGCCCCGCCCCAGGCCAGAGGGACTCTCCCACGCAGAGCCCACGCCCCCGCTTCGCCAGGCTGGGCTGTGTGTGGGAGAGAAGCGTCCGAAGCCGCCTGGCCTTGCCCTCCCTCTGTGCCGCCCCGCTCCTCGGCCCGGGCCCCTCTGTGCCGCCCTCTGGCTGGGAAGGAAAGGGCTCTTCCTCCGTTTGGGCGCCGGGCATGGAGGCCTGGGTCTTCCGGGCCCTCCTGGCCCTCCTGCCCTTGGCCTTCGGGGCCGGGAAGCCGCTCACTGAAGGTAAGGAAGGAGAGAGAGAGGGCAGGGCTTTGGCAGAAGGGGTCTCTTCCCACTCCGTGAGCCTGGACCCGAGCCTGGGTGGGTGAGTGGCGCCGCGGAGGGGCTTGCCCAGCAATCCCTGCCTTGGCCTTCCCCAGGGTGTGATTTCCTCCGCTTCCCCTTCCCTTCAGCTCTAGGCAACCAGTGCGCCCTCGCTTCCTACGCCACCCTCCTGCCTTCGTTTTCTTCCTCCTTTGATGAGCTGACTGCCTTTCCTGGCCTGATTGGCCCAGCTTCCTCCCAGGTTATTCCTTCACCTTACGTCTTGCAGAATGAACGCAGTCGGAATTGCCACGGCTCAATGCTATGGGAAACATCGGGGCTGTAGTACTACAAGGCCTTGAGCCCTCTCTCTGCCAAAGAGTGTTGGGGCCTCAGCAAACTACAACTCCCATGATTCCACTGCCTGGAGTCATGACACTTCAAATGATGTCAGGCAGCATGACTGCTACAGCAGGCATGAGCAAACTTCGGCCCACTGGGTGTTAGGAATTGTGGGAGTTGAAGTCCAAAACATCCGGAGAGCCAAAGTTTGCTCATGCCTGTTCTACAGGTTAGATGTGATCACAGGCATGGGCAAATTTCGGCCCGCCAGGTGTTTTGGACTTAAAGGTTAAGGCTTCCCCTTGGCATTAAATGCAGTTGGGTCTAACTTTGGGGGTTGGTGCTTATCTCCATTTCTAAGTTGAAGAGTTGGCGTTGTCCATAGACACCTCCCAGGTCATGGCTGCATGGAACCCTGATAGCTTTCTGCCAGATCTATTGATCTGCCAGATTTATTGATCTACTCACATTTGCATGTTTTCGAACTGCTAGGTTAACAGAAGCTGGGGCTAACAGTGGGAGTTCACCCCACTTCCTGGATTTGTACCGGAGACCTTCCAGTCAGCAAGTTCAGCAGCTCAGCAGTTTAACCCACTGCGCCACCAGGGTCTCCATGTTTTGGACTTCCATAATTCCTAACAGCCAGTAGTTTGTTAGGAATTGTGGGAGTTGAAGTCCAAAATATCTGAAGGGCCGAAGTTTGCCCATGTCTGGTATAGAGTATTAGTCAAAAGAAAAAAAAAGAAGAAAATTATTAGTCAGTATGCCTTTATTCCAGCCAACAAACCATAAGGCAATGCGATAGTTCTATACAGTACACCTTAAACACATGTAAACAGAGCTGTGCACACACTGTTTGAAAACATAAGCCATGATGGGATGGATCAAAAGATGCATTAAAAACATAGAGAGACATTGTAGCAACGGCTTAATAAGATACCTATGTGTAAAATGGAGTACAAAACGGATACAGTTAAAATAATCATTCTGTGGGTTGAGTATAAATTAAAACCACACGATTTTGATATCCCTCCTTCTGGAACTACAGTCCTCATACCGCATCTCGCAAGTTTAACCATCAAAGATTCTCATTGGTGTACAAATTATATTAGACTTATTGGTGTAATTAATAGAATTATTAGTGTCATTTGATGCCACTCAATATGCCACAAATCCTGGAGTTTTATGTGACACCAGCACTCTTTGGCAGAGTTAAAGTGTTAAAGTGTTGCCAGTTACATCTAGTAACTTACTGGGTGTATCTACACTGTGGAATTAATGCAGTTTGATAACATTTTGACGGCCATGGCTCAATGCTATAGAATCACAGCAGTTGTAATTTCACAAGTTCTTCTCTGACAAAAAAAATGCTGGGATCTCAGCCGATTGCGATTCCCATGATTTTGTAGCATTACGTCATGGTAGTAAAAGCCATGCCAAAACTGTATTAGTTCTACAGTGCAGGTGCACCCTACAATGTCAAGACCCTTCAGTCTAAAGAGCAACTTGTCCAGGTCATCTATCTCTTGTCCTTTTCATGGTTTTGCATTTTGTATGCAAATGAGCACATGTATTCTATGGTTTAAAATTCATACCCTGTCACCATTCCCATCCAGTATATGTTCCATGTATGAAGTGATAAAGAAGCCCCCAGTGGTGCAGCAGGTTAAACAGCTGAGCTGCTGAACTTGGTGACTGAAAGATCAGTGTTCGAATCCAGGGAGTGGGGTGAGCTCCTGTTGTTAGCCCCAACTTCTGACAACCTGGAAGTTTGAAAATATGCAAATGTGAGTAGATCAATAGGTACTGCCTCAGTGGGAAGGTAATGGCGCTCCATGCAGTCATGCCAGCCACATGACCTTGGAGGTGTCAACAGACAATGGCTTAGATATGGAGATGAGCACCACCCCTCAGTTGGACTCGACTAGACTTAACATCAGGGGAAACCTTTACCTTTTTATGAAGTGATAAGTCATTTTATAGAAGTTTTTATTAGTAGTTTTATTTTTATTGAAAAGGAAAGAAAACATAGTTTATAAAGCAATATTAAAAGATTATATTATAATGGTAAAATATGTAGCTAATGCCCTAGATCAGAAATTCCCAGAAATCCCAGCCAGTTTAACAGCTGTTAGGATTTCTGGGAGTTGAAGGCCAAAAACATCTGGGGACCCCAGGTTCAGAACCACTGCCCTAGATATTACAGCAAACTAGAAAACTACATCAGAACACAAAAACAAAACACATATCTGTATAGAATGTGTGGACTTCACTAGCAAACATCTATAAATAGACAAGGAGACAGTCTATGAACCTCCCACGCACCACCCCACGGTTTTTATCCCTTATTATTATTTTCCCATTAGATAACACTAAATAACCATTTTTGGTAACATTCTTGGAATCCATAAACCTTCAATTGACATTTGTCCCATTGTAGTCTGTCTGTTCCCACTCTGTTGGCTGGGGAATGGATTGCATCAAACTAAATAGGTGCTTTGGTATAAGTATATTCTAAATCTCCCTTTGTCTTCATGCCTATACAAGGGCATAAACATGGGTCAGAATTTAATTTGCATTGCTATCATGGCTCAACTCTGAGCTTTTCACGGAAGTAATGAGATTCTTCTCAATAAATAACTAAGATCTTTTTTCTTCTTTACTGAGTGCCCAGAGCTAGCTAGTTCTGGCCTGGCAGAAAAGAGAGTGCTCCAGATCACGAGAGTGCCTACAGGTCATCAGTTCAGTCATTTTAATATCTGCCTTATTTGGTGCAGGAATTTATTAACTGTAGAACAATGTCTGGGATTTTTGTTGTCGAGTGTGTTGGTGTTTGATCAAACAAGGAAGTAGATATAAGTTAAAACCGCCCTCGCTTTGTGAGAGATTGCTGTGTGTGTGGTTTATTATGTCATTAAAATGTGATGCTACAGGACACAGAACTGTTTGCCCAACAGCACTTCTCGGATTTTTATTGCTACAGAATATTCCTGTTGTTTGTGCAATTTTCCAGTATTTGGGAAATATTTTTCTTAATGAGAATATTAGCATGATATGCAAGAAATCCACAGCAACTCGGATGTGTTCTGTATATCATTCGCAATTCCTGGAGAAAAATATTGTGGGTCAAAGGACCTAGGCTTTGGGTTTCTCATACTCTAGAAATCACCAAAATGTTTGCAATGGAGATATTTGCATGGCTAGTGGAGCTGCATAAAATTTTGATGCCATTTTCTGTCTTCTGCATCTTTTGAGGTAGGATACCTTCAATATTCCATCAGTGGAACAGAAACTTGGGCCCCTTCTATGCAGCTGTATAAAATCCATATTATCTGCTTTGAATTGGATTATATGGCAATGTAGACTCAGATAATCCAGTTCAAAGTAAATAATGTGGATTATCTGCCTTGATATTCTGGATTATATGGCAGTGTAGAAGGGCCCTCAGTTTTAGTGGCTGTCAGACTGAGGATCTGAAGATCATGATTTGCAACTTTTATTTGGTCCCTATGAAATGCTGTCATAGAGTATTTAAAATATATATAGATCAGACAACCTAGGGCCCTTGCACACAGCCATATAAGCCAGTATATCAAGGCAAAAAATCCCACAATATCTGCATTGAGCTGGGTTATCTAAGTCCACACTCAGATAATGTGGGATTTCTGCCTTGATATACTGGGATATAGGGCTGTGTGGAAAGGCCCTGAGTCCACACTGCCATATATTCCAGTTCAAAACAGAAAATGTGGGATTTTATTCTGCTGTGTGGAAGAGGCCCTAGACAGTGAAATTATTTGCATAACAATAACTTATATACTTAGCTCAGTTACTTAAATTGTACCCCCTTTACAATTCTTTTTATTAACATGTAGTTGGGCCGTTGGATCAAATTCTGGAGATGGAAATCTGGTAGAAGTGCACATGGAAAGGAGAATCAAGCACACATCAATAAAAAATTAAACAATAACTTTTTGGGAGGGAGGGCATGAACCTCCTTCCTATTGTCTTCATAATGAAGCAAGAAATACTTTTTACATCTTTCTGAATAACCTGAATATTCCTTTTCCCCGTCTCACACTAATTTCTGTTTCTGCTGCTATTGCAAAAAAGCTGTCATGGGCTGCCACTCAGACAGTGATGCCACCAAAAGCATGCTTAGGCTCCCAAATCCCATAATCTTATAGTGCAGTGGTTCGCAACCTGTTTTGGCCTACAACTACCAGAAATCCCAGCCAGTTTAACAGCTGTTAGGATTTCTGGGAGTTGAAAGCCTAAACATCTGGGGACCCACAGGTTGAGAACCACAGTTATAGTGGCTAGGGAGTTATTCAATTATTTGTAATACAGTCGACTTTCAGTTACATGACACCCATGGATGCCAGAAAAATATAGTCTCTGGTTGCTTAAGAATTACTTTTAAACTTAGGCTTAACTAATACTATATGTCATACTATACCATATCACACCAAACTATAAGCTCTGTATTGACTTAATATTAACATTAATATTGAAATGCTGTAATTAAAAGCAAATAGAGACAAATATAACCTCACCTCTGAGGATGCTTGCCATAGATGCAGGCGAAACGTCAGGAGAAATGCCTCTAGAACATGGCCATATAGCCCGAAAAAACC